CTAATTGGCCCCAGAAAGAACTTTGAATAGTGACAAAAAGGACATTTTTACTTATCCATATAAATTCCTTTAAGAATAGCCGTCCATATATAAAGAGATTGTAATGAAAAACAGCTGCGGACCAGCTGTATCCAACCTTTAACCCTGCCATAAAGTTGGCTGCCTTAAACAAAAAGAACCTTTTAATGACCCTGGATGTGTATGTTCAAACCTGGCTGAAAGGGAAGGCACACTGCTATTATTTTTACAAACTCAGCTATAAGGCTGCAGATGTTATTCGATTAGGAATTTTCGGTAAGAACCAGCTCAGAATGGTGTATTTTCTTTTGAAAAATGCAACAGTATAATCTTTTCATGGTCCCCTGTTCCACCAAGAATGGGAAGAAAACATCTGGAAGACATTTTTTCTGGGTTTTGGGAGGGCTTAGCAGACAGCACAATGGAACTTATCGAATCCAGATGTGAAGGCGTTTAGTGAAACAGAAAGGCCTTATTCAATTTAATCCTTTAAAGTATAGTCTACATAAGTATAAAACAAATACCATCTCTTGATATATAACATTATTCTTGAGTCATGCCAATTCTCTGATTGTTTATTTCCACTGCTCCTTTCAAAACTGTCGTCTATTAGCATCAGAAGCTTTGGACAAAATCCATCCTTGATTTCACTTGCACAAGGTATGCAAAGAATGTTATTTCAGTATTTCTGATGACTAAAAGTACTCGGCAGCTCAAGTAAGTTATGGTCTGGTGTGAATGTTTGCAACAGACAAAAAGCTTTTGCTTGATTAATTATAACAAACCACGGTAACAACAGTCAAAACTGATTGTATAAGACTTGTGAAAAGAGTCCATTGATTATGGAAACTAAGTTGAAAAAGGAACTTTGCAGAAACAAAGGAAACCGTTTGAAGAAGGAAGATTTGTTCCACAGCATTTATATGCTGATCATAAAACTACAAAGCAACTGAGGTCAATCACTAGGGGGTAAGCTTGTCTATTACATTTGAATTAGGGATGCACACTTTGGATTATTTCCAGTGACTTTTTAAGTCTCTGTGTCTGTCTGTGGACAGATTTCGTCACTGCAATAGTGTCACACAAATCTACAGATGTTTAAATTAGATCAAATGTAAAAGGTTGAGTTGGAAAATGGCTGTGGTCCCATCACAAAGGGAGCCAAGGGGCCAATGGCTCCCCTACTTTACCCCCCTGGCTAGATTTGGCGTCACAAAACGTTACAGTTGTGCATTGAGATAGTAACGAAGGTTAAGTTCAGAGATGGGTTTGATTCCAGCAAGGATGATATAAATGATATAATAATAATAATTTATCAACTCAATAAATATTGTGCATCCCTAATTTGAATTTATGTTATTTAGTAACACAAACAAAAAACATAACATAACCCTAAACCTAGAAAGAAGGCAGAAATAACCTTTTATAACCTTATTCTGTTTCGATTCTGCATCCAGGACTAAAGATGTCAAAGGATTCTCTAGACCGAAGTCCAACTAAGTGTAACTTGTGCAGATATTCTATTCTTACAAGAGCATCAACCACTGGCCAAAAATATATAATACTACACACACTTCTAATCTTCCTTTCTGACCTCCAAAAGTCAGAGGACAATTTATTGAACAAGCAGCAGTGGAGCTTCAATAGCAAGAATTCCTTTCTTCAGGCAATGAAACTGTAAACCTAACAGCAGTGGCAATCCTAAAGTCCTGACCTCTGAACTCTGACGCCTCTTCTCATTCTTAACCTCCATGTCTTATAAGCCTTCTGTTAGTACCACTTTTAAAGTAAGGTCTGCTTATTAATGCATGGATTAGGCCTTTGTGCCTCTTAGTGTTTGATTGTACATGCAGTGCACCTCAGGTTGCTGTTCACTTTGAACACGTTTGTAGTTTGCAATAAACTCATTTCTTAGTCTTTGAGAATATAATGCAACCGCAGAGGCATATTTTAAAATGTTATCTTTACGGTTTGGTTTTTCAGTAACCATAGTGACTGTCCATGATTGTATTGCTAACAGGCTACCATGCTAAGCTACATTTAGTACACTTTTTCTTTTTCAGGGTACCAGTACAACTTTGAACTAGTCATATACTCAATAAAATGATATTAAAAAAGGACAATGAATAATGTGAAAGGGGGTGTGACAGACCAACTGAAAAAGTATCAACCAACTGTGGAGATTGGCTAAGCTCTTCTGAGCATTTAGCATCTCTTTGCTAACAACCTACTACACCTTTATTGCAGAAAACTAACTGTCACTATTCTACCAACCGTGTGTGCAGCAGCAGCTGATTTCAGCTCAACACACATCAGAACAAAGAAGATAGCAACAAGTAAGCTAATGTGCACTGTGGAACCCTTCGCAAGATAAAGGCTAGTGTATTTTAAGGAGTTACTGGAAACCAAGACTAATCTAAAGAAAAAGGAATATTACACTTACATTCGCCATGGAGACATAAAGGCAACTCTTATTACAGCTATGTGTGTGCTAGATGTGTAATAAGTGAAGTACAATGATTGTTTGCAGCTTGGTCTGCTGCCTCCAGGTGGTGAACCCCCAAAATGAATGCAGTTTTGTGAGCTAAAACTCGAAATGTTACATTTTAAAATTGGGTTTTGTAGAGTTTAGATTACACTTCTAATCCATATAACCACATGTTTCGTTCTTTCTTTCTTTTTTATATGAATGATTTAATAAGGGATTTGTTTTAACAGTCCAAGATTAACTTAATACCTTGTGGAACGAGTCATTGGATTTCAACAATCCACAAATGTTGAAATGAAAGACTTTGAAAAACCTGATGTAACATCACGTCTCTTAACTGTTCCTGCAGTGTTATTATAGCTGCCCAATCACCTTTGATTTCATCTCAGTTGAATGTCAAAGTCCCATATAGAAATATGCCAACTATTTTTAAAAAGTGTATCAATTTAGTATGATAAAGTAGATGATTAAAGAATATGTAATGATTACAAAATAAACAATGAATATTTTTTATTTATTTTTACAGTTCAACCCATATCAATTATTTTAAACCTGCATTTTAATTGGAGTACACTGTGTAGAGTTGAGCCGTGCTGGTGTGTGGGCAGGCCTCTGCAAGCTTTCAGATGAATGTATACCGAGTCCTCCCTGAGGCTAAGAGGTCATGTGGTTAGGGTCAAGATTAACTTTTACTGCTGACAACTGGCTAATCGTCAACGATTACCGTTTGCACCACACGTTGTTGGGAAAGGTGTGTGTATAGATGTTATATTTTATTATATTTCGACATAAAGTGAATATAAAAGCAAAGACTGAGTTTAATCCAATACTATACTGAAAGCTCAACTCATCTGAAATGTTTGAAAACTTTAAGAAAAGTGAAAATCTTCAACTTTAGAATTGGTGATTAGTTGACACAAAACGTGCATGTATTTGGCATGTTGCTTTAGTCATCAAGTATTTCCCATTCGGCATGTGTCAAGTGTCAAGTTTCAGGAATTGTACCAGACCCCTTGAGGGTCCCTTACAAGACTCTGGTTCCTCTCTATCGGAGCTAAAGCGCTGATTAAATCCAGCTTCCAGCACCAACATGGATTCAGTCCCACTGTTTCTGGTCCCAAAAGCTCAAGTCAAACTCCCCCTCTGTCATCAAAAACTCCATAGAGTGACCTAAGATGTGTTCACTTAACCACCAGTGTTTATAGGCAACATAAAAAATCAACAGGCTGCAGTAAAGTCTTTATATGTCTATACCCTATATGAACTTGAAACCACTTCAAATTCATCTGTTTTCCATTAAGCTCATTTCTAATTGTACATAGCTTTGAATCAAGCAGCTGACTCGGTGTGACATCCCATTGGTGACTTTGGCACAATCTTGGAGACTTTCTTACTGTCCCTGAAGCAGACAGCAGAAAGCACCTGTTCACCTTAAAGTCCTGCAGTGTCAGAGCCTTACGGCAGACAGTAGACCACCAACCATGCCACGCAGTCTTAAGCAGCTAATAATACATGTAGGCCGGACCCCAGCCCCACCGCCACAGCACTGCCTGACCTCTGGACCCCCACGGGACAACACACTGCCCCAGTGAAGGGTCTAATGATAAAAAATAACTTCTTCTTTCAAGCCTTTGGAGCCTACAGGCTGGGTTTAACTGATATTTAACTGACATGCCAAACGTTAACACTCCTATTTTCGACACTCTAAATCATTTAACTGTTATGTGGAGTATTTGTAGAATGTAATTAATAAATATATTGGGGTTTAAGCCTAAACACAGCGCCTCGAGCAATAGAATGTGTGTTCGATGTTAGTCTTTAAGGCGGCTCCACCCTACCACTTCAGATGAGCTGCAGCACCTCCCTTTAAAAGTATGCTCATCCCTCATCAGTAAAAAAAAGAAAAAGGAAAAAAGCTTTGGAAAAACTCTCTTCACACTTTCTCTAACTGAAAGACAGAAAAGTCATTACATTGCATTTAGCTGACGCTTTTATCCAAAGCGACTTACAATAAGTTAGAAGTTATAATTAGAAGTTCATAATAAGTTTGGAAAATGCAAAACAGAAAAATGCTTTAAGTAACATCTGAAAAACAGATGTTATTTGTGACCCCGGGATATACTGTACAGTTTATTATTTCACCATCAAATGCATGCAAACCTTTTCAAAACAAGATTATTCAGGGTTATATCTATATTTAAAAACGTTCGCAAGTTTTTCCAGTGGCATTGTACTTCACTGCAAACCAGCTCCTCAGACCCAATAAGTGGCAAAACCTCTCTGAGTTATTCTCAAAAGAAAACCCCTTCTCTCATAAATACACAGTCCATGATGCTTTGACAAGTCCCTTAGTTTAAAAAACCAAGCTGTAAAGGAAGCAATAAGGCACAAATATGAGTTTAGGAGGAGGGGTGGATCCACTTTACCCTGAGAGAAAAACTTTTTTTCAGCGCAGCTTCAAAATGAACCCACACATCTCACAGCTGCATCTTACCTGAACTTGCTTGCGATGTGACAAAAAGCAGAATCACCGCTAAAGTGATTTGGGCGTCCCTTATCGTCCGTTTAACTTTCCATCTTATATGGGTATCCATGACCGCCAGAGAAGTCCACGGCAAGTGGATTCACTTTTCAACTTGGTGAAACTAACTCGACTTGCAACAACTTCTGGTCAGGACAATACTAAAAAGCCAAAAGTCCCAGAGAAAGAGAAAAAAGGGGGAGGGGGGGTGTTTGGTTATTTCTCAAGCAGCCATAAGGGATTGTTAGTGTGCGTTCCTCCAGCTAGTTAACGGATGGGCACCCGTCTCTCCGCACAGCTCCTCTCCTCTCTGCGCGTCTGAAATGTGCTGCACTGCTGCGCTCCGTTCAGAAGTGTTGCCCACTCCTCAGCCGTCACGTAGAGCCCCTTCAAGTCCAACGAGGCTACGGCGCACAGAAAAGCTCTCCCCCCGGGCTGTCAGTCACTCGGCGGACAGCAGGGTCGAGCAAATCAGAGCGGTCCATACATTAGAGCCAGCCCTGTTCCTGGCCGGGGGAGGAGGAGAAGTTGGGGGAAAGTTTCACGCCTACAAGTTAGCGCCCTGAGCTCTTCTGCATGGAGTCCACTTCTTCCACAGAGGCAGGGCGGGAAAAGCAAACTGCGACTGGGAGAAGTCATGGAGAAAGGAGGGCGATTCAATATAGTAGTGATTATTCAAACTGGTTTTAAGAGTAGGGTTGTGTTGCATCAACAGGTGGGCTCCACTAAAAGCACTGACCCAGCCTGTGGAACAATAGCCTATTTATGTTATCTATAGCTGATTTAAATTATGTATTTATTACATGTAGCCAGCCAGGTTGTTCTTTAACACATAGTTATATTTTTGTGTAAATATTGACTTGTTACAATAGTCTTAACATATATTTTTCAAGAGCTTTTATAATAGTTTTTATATATAGGCCTGCATTTTTTCCTATGTATTCTTCTTTCTATGTCTTTGTATGCGCCATATACATTCTTCGTTTGTGGATATAGGCCTACTTGGGAATAAAACCGATTCTGATTCTGAACAATGCAGGCCACTATTTCCAAATGTCCAACTTGTTTTGTTCTTATTCAATAACTAGCAACTTATTATTATTATTATTATTAACTTAAATTGTAAATGTAATTGCATTTATTTATTTAAAAGCACTAGGCCTACAGTATATACATTTTCTAATGCATTTATAAAGCACTTTTCCAGTATTTGCCACCCCTCAAAGTGCTTTTACACATGCAAATCAGAATTCAATCATTCACACACATTCATACGGCTGCCATACAAGCTGACACCCGCTCAAGAAAAATAACACACACACACACACATTGGCTTTGCCATCGGAGCATTTTGGGGTAAAAACTACCAAGGGGACACATCAACTGCAGAGGATGGCGATCAAACCACCAGCCTTCCGATTTGAGACCATCTACCTCCTGATTTATCATTAGATTTTGTATATATAAATCTAAAAATAGAAATACATATGAAAAGTACCATGATGATGGGTAACTAAGTGAAAGGCCCAAGGTTCACAGCATCTCAATTATTATGTGGTGGTTCTTTTACAGGTACACAAGCTGGGGGATGAGTAAGCTTCACTCAAACAATGAAAGTTTGAGTGCTATTTTGGACACGATGGATTCATAAGTGACTCTCTGGCAAGATGGTCCAGCTTTTATCATGGACAGGCCCAATTTTGGACACGAAGAAAAACAGCAGTTATTAATCAGATGGTTGTTTATCAAAACCAGACATTATTCTTTTCATTGTGGAGTGCTTAAATGGACTTGCTAAACTGTGAAATGATTCATACAAAATGTATGTTCAAGAACAACTCAACAATCAGTTCAGATCCAGTTGAAATTGAAGAACTATAACTTGCCTCTAGTAATGTATAAATTCATTTAAATGCAAACTTTGAATCAACCAGTCAAAGCAAACTTTTCATGGAAGCTGTGATGTACGTCAGATATCACTGTAGCGTTTGAATACAGTGAGAAAATACAGAACTGAGAAAAGGCAGCTTAAATGCAATCTAATCACTGGAAACAAATATTGCAAAGTAGTAAATTCACCCTCATTGATGAATAATCATTTGTAAATAACTTTTTGGTGCCACGGTGAGATTCAGACACCAGCTCTTGCTGACGTTGTCTCAACTGTCATATGGCTGCTGCAGTGGGGGGCAGACCTCCGTTAAGTGCCCATAAAAGTTGACACGATAAACAAACAGCACAATGTTGTTGCGACATCTGACACTGTGTCACATTACGAGGTGAAAACCATCTTTACACACACAAGTGACTTGTTACAGTATGTTAGACTGGACACTGAGTGATAGTACAGACTACAATATAAAATGATGAAATATTGTCCAGGCGAGCGTCATTAAAGAAATACCTCACCCATGAAATGAACATTTGTTTATCAAACGTCAATCCAGTTGTTTACTCACTTCCCGACACATGCTTTTTCTTACTACACAGAAACTGCCAAATGATTTAAAATAGTTTTTGTTAATAGACATGTGTTTGCGAAGTAGTGAGCATATTCATTTTTAAATGAGACTTGGATTACATGCGAGATATATGTGAAAATGTGTAAGTAGACCTAGTTGTTTTCATATTGTTTTGCTATTCAAACGCAGTCTCTAATAACTGTATTTCATCATGAACTTTTCAGTTTTTTCCATTCATTGTAAAAGGATCCAGGCAACAACTGTTTTCTTTTGAGAGTTCACGGAAACACGTTATGAGTAATTCATATACAAATGGTTATATAGTGTGTCGTTTAGTTTGGAAAATTGTCTTAAAGCTTTTGGAGAATATAAAATTAAAGAAGCACAACTGCATCATGACTGATTTTTGTCTGCACTCACATGCTCTTTTGTAACACGAACATGTACTGACTGACAAATGCATTTAGAGAAATGAATAATGGGCTACTCACCTTTAATCTCCTGGCAGATGGCATCAGTGAACAGGTTGGAACCATACACTGGATATAGGGTTATTAATCATGTTGAAACATAGCCTTGCCTACTGCCTTCACAGCCTTTTTACCTTAAATGACCCCTATTTCCATATACGTTTCTTTGGTTCTGAAGGCATCACATTTTTAAATAAACTGCATCACTTGAAAAGGAGAGGATATTTACATCCAGAATACACCAGCTTTTCTAAACTGACCACTTAGACATATAATGGTTACGTGGTCAGATATATGGTACAAATTATGGGCAGAGCCCTGTGTTTAGGGTGGCTTTGTACTTACACCACACTAATGTGAAGGCTCTTTAACTGCTCCTGTGCACACACTCCCTTAAACTGTGTTCTAACCAAAAACATGATGTTTTATCTGAGGCTGGACCATTGGTGGTTGTGCCCATCTGAGGACATTCAGAATACTCTCTCAAAATACATCCCTGCAAAATATAGGACACAGTCGGAAAAAGACAAGTGAATTGGGATTTAGTGTAATACTTTTTCAGTTTAGAGCCAATATTTCAATTCTATTTCTACTATTTTTCACATTTACATTCACCAAGAAATGAAATAGAAAAAGCCAGAGGCCTGGTCAGCAGGCGGTGCTTTCACTGAGTTGATCTCTTATCCAGTGGTCTGTACTACGAAGCCGGATTTTCGCTTAGCGAGGTAACTTCAGGATAAACAACTCTGGGTTTCCTACGACGCTGGTTCACTTCTTACGTAGATCTCCATGGTAACTTATGCTGAACAGCAAACCTGCTCCGGAGCAGGTTTGGTTCCCGGGATAAGAGATAAACTCAGTGAAAGCACCGCCTGCTGACCAATCAGAGCTCAGTGTGCGGAGTTTAAAGCTATCAAGTCATATTACAGGATAAAGGAAATATAGAAAAACTGCCGTTGCAGGAAAGACGGCTGGCAAAAATCACCGACTGTGTGAGTGTGAACATTAATAGAATATCACCTCCCATCTTCAGAGCAATCTGACTAATATAACATTAGCGTTAAGAAAGCTTACTTAAATATCTGCCACAACATAAGTAACCGGATCAAAGTAACATTACATACAGTCCGCGGCACTGTGAGTGCAGACGTCAATGTGTCCCATTATCATTCATATCACATCATAATCATATGTTTCCTTATCTGTGTCAGCTGCTTGAGCCGTATCTGGCCGTGCAACACTTACAGTGTCACATAGCTACTGTATGCAGAAGTATTATTTTAAAGTGGACCTATCGTGCTATATTTGAATAATATATTGTAGGGCCATACCTATATAAAACATGTCTGTTTGTTTTTTTTTCAAAATACCAAACAGATCATGCATTTTAGCCATGCCTCATTTCGCTTTATTTGCTGTATTCCAGCCCGATTTTTGCAAGGGCTGATTCTGTGGAAAATGAGCTGCAGCTGACCACGCCCCCCTGCAAAGGAGGGGGGTGAGGCACGAGTGTCATGTTACCATGCTATTACCATGCTGTTACCATGCTGTTACCATGCCACGGCAACCTCTTATTCCCCTGATAGGTGGAGAGTTGCCCATATAGGTGGAGCTCCCCGTTTCTGACGTCAGAACAATTTCAAATCTGTATCAGTCTGTATCAGCTCCGTTGCAGCCCCGTTTTTAGAGATTTGGGTATGGAGGAAAAGAGGGAGGGTTGTGTTTTCTGACACTTGGTGAGTTCCCTGACACACCGGGGACACATATTCATGTATAAAAGACGTACAAAAGTGCATTTTGCATGATAGGTCCCCTTTAAGCAACACATTAAGTTTGACGAAACACTCAAGTCAAATGTAATTAAAGTCAGATCCACTCGTGTCTTAGACGGGGCAGTGATATCATAAACCTGTTAATGTACGCATTCAAACGCTTTTTTTTTTACCAGCTGTATTCACCTTGCAGGTGCAGCTATGTGGCTTTTATCCTGGATAAATTGTTTAAGTCATGGATGTTTAAAGTTTAACTTCTTCATATTTGACTAATATTATAGTTGACTTTTCATTCAGGAAGTATGACGCTGCACTGTCAGTGCGCTTGTCCATGTTTGTGATTGGTCAAATGTTGCTAACCCTTTCATGTGAACGCGCACTCAGCCAGACAGAGAAACCCTGGCTTGAGTTACCGAGTTGATAAACAGCGTTGTAGGACCGCTTAGCGAGATCGCGTTTGTTTTAGGTTAGTTAAGCCACATAACTCAAACATATCCAGGGTATGTTGAACTGGATTCGTAGTACAGGCCTCTGGAACAAAACCTGCTCTGGAGCAGGTTTGCCATTCAGCATAAGTTACCATGGAGATCTACCCCGGTAAGAAGTGAACCAGCGTCATAGGACCGGAAACCCAGAGTTAACCCTGAAGTTACCTCGCTAAGCGAAAATCCGGCTTCGTAGTACAGGCCTCAGCTGTT